CGGCGGGTTCATTCTTCTAGCTCCTCTAAGGAAGCGGATGACCAACTCATGTCTTCCCAGTTACTGGCCGTGCGTCGATTCTGCGAACGCAGCCACGGCCGCCACGTATACTTTGAGCGTGGATGGGGACCTCCCCTTATCCAACAGCTCTTGTAGGAAGGTGAGCAGATGCGCCACCCCGCATGTCCGTGGGTCCAGACCTCTGTCGGTGCACCATCCGGAGAACACCGACCATTTAGACGCGTAGAGCCTTCTCGTGGAAGGAATAGACTGCGTGATCGTGTTCATCACTCCTTCTGGCAGGGCAACGAGTACCCATTGATCAACCATGCGTGCAGAGACCAGCGCTCTGGATGGGGGTGCCAGATCGCGCCGCGAGCCTGAGAGAGGAGATCTGCCCTCACCGGAATCGGCCACGGAGCTGTATGTGACAGTCGTGCTAGTTCCGGGAACCAAATCTGATTCTCCCAACGCGGGGCTATGAGGAGCACCGAGTGGCGCGTTTCCCTGATTCTCTTGATCACCTGTGGTAACAGAGAGACCGGAGGGAAAGCATATAGCGGGAGGCTGGGCCAAACCTGGGGTCGACTTCCGCTCTGCCGAATAGGCGCCACAGTTTCTGGACCATTTGGGGGTGCAGGGACCATTCCCCTGGGGGAACATTGTCCCTGAACAGTTTGTCTGGGCCGTCGTTCAAATGGCCAGGCACATGCGCCGCCCTCAGCGAGCGCAGGTGCATCTGAGACCAAATAAGGAGGCGTCCGTCAGTTTGCAGAGATTTCTGGATCTGACACCGCCCTGACGGTTTACATAGGATACCACAGACATGTTGTCCGAGCGGACAAGAACATGTTGGTCCTGTATGAACAAGAGGAAGCGCTTCAGCACGTTCTCGACCGCTATCATTTCCAGACAGTTTATGTGAAAACACTTCTCTTGGTCTGACCACTGGCCGAAGACCGGTCCGCCCTCGAACAGCGCGCCCCAACCCGAGTTGGACGCATCTGTCGAAATGACTTACCGATAAGAGATGGTTCCCATCATCACTCCCTGCTGGTACCAGTCGGCTACTAACCAGGGCTGCAGAGCCGCTATGCAGGTCTGAGTCACTCTGATTTTCTGGCTGCCAGAAACCCAAGCTCGGCGGGACGTGCAAGCATTCAACCAGCGTTGGAGCGGGCGCATGCGCAGTAGGCCCAGCTGAAGCACCGCTGCAGCTGATGCCATACAGCCCAACATCCTTTGAAATGTTTTCAAAGGGAGAAAGCTGCCCTTCTGGAAAGATGCGGCTAGGTGGCGAACACGGCGCGCGCGCTGTGTCGATAAACGAGCCGTCATGGTCATCGAATCCAGTTCTATTCCTACAAAGGAAATTGACTGGCTGGGCAGTAATGAGCTCTTGGTCCAGTTGACCGTGAGACCCAAGCTTTCCAGGTGACTGAGAAGCACTGTTCTGTGAGATAGCAGTTCTGTCTCTGACTGTGCCAATATCAGCCAATCATCCAGATAGTTCATTATTCGCAGCCCCTGACTTCTCAGGGGGGCGAGCGCCGCGTCCATGCACTTCGTAAATGTAAGGGGTGCTAGAGACAGGCCGAACGGCAGGACGGTGTATTGATATACCTGACCGTCGAAGGCGAATCTCAAAAATTGCCTGTGACGGGGTATTATCTGAATCTGAAAATAGGCATCCTTCAGATCTAGAGAAATAAACCAGTCCCTCGGGCGAACGTGCGCAAGGATTTTCCTGGTCGTAAGCATTTTGAACGGTCTTTTCGCAAGCACTTTGTTCAAATGTCTCAGATCTAGGATAGGTCTGAAGGCTCCGTCCTTCTTGGGTACGGGAAAATATCGGCTGTAAAAGCCTGACTCGCTCAGATAAGGCGGTACCTTTTCTATAGCCCCTTTGCACAGCAGCTTTGCTATTTCTGCGTGAAGTAGGTGTGCTACTTCCGCATTCACTATCGTCGCGGTCCGGGCTCGAAAGCGCGGGGGACGGCGAATGAATTGAAGTGTATAGCCCTGCTTTATTGTGCTCAGCACCCATTCTGAAATCCCTGGGATAGTTTCCCACGCAGCTATGTGAGCCGCCAGGGGGCGAATGGCCTCCGGGTTCAGATCGCCGCCATTTGCGGGCTTGTGAGACTGAACCGGAGCCGAAAGCGCGGCGCGCGCTCTCAGTTCTGGGCAATGGCTGCTCGCTGAAAGCCGAAACTGGCTGATTCATGTGAGATGTCCCAATCATAAGGGATGGGGAACATTTTCTTTTCGCTGTTTGACGCGCGAGCAGCGCTCTGGGCGGAAAAACTTCCTGTAAGCGTGAGCGCGGGCACGAGACTTACAAGTGTATTTGACGCCCCGATCGTAATGGATGGGGAGCGTCTTATTAATGCCCTGCGTTTTGTGATAACACTTAAACGCGCGGGCGGCACCTGGTGGGAGGTTTGTGTTAGTAAGCGTGAATGCTCTCTGGCGGGCACGAGACTTACATTCATAACCTGCTTTTTTGATCGTGTAACAGAGCGGGCAGATAGTGGGCACAGACCTGTGGAAACATTTCTTACATTCAACACTCGAGCGGCTTCTCTGCGCTTTATGAGAGTGTGCTCTGTGAGTGACACGAGATTTGAAGTGCTTGTGTGTAGGGGTGAACACTGGGGCGTAGGCACCTTCACTACACTTAAAACACAGACGGCGTGAGCCGGACCAGACATTATACTCTTTTGAGATTTCTCTGGGTCGCCGTGAAAACGGCGTTTGTGTGCAGGCGAGAGGGGGAACAAACCGGCTCGTTGGCTGCTAAATGAACCACTGCAGTAGCCTGTTTGAAGGGGACTGACAGGGAAATAAAATTTGCGGGACACGCGCGTCTTTTCGGAGTAAGCGTGCGCGCTCGTGAGCGGGCACGTAACTTACATTCTTAACCTGACATGTATGAGGCTGTTCTGGTCATGTGACAGAGCGGGCTGAAAAATAGGCGTGAGCACAGAGTTGTGGGCACGTTTCCTACATCTAGCACTCGAGCGGCATTTGCCAGCTTTATGAGAGTGGGCTCTGCAGGAGACACGGGGGGTATCGTGTTTGTGTGTAAGGGTGAACACCGAGATGTGGGCACATTTTCTATACTCAAGACACCAACGGCGTGAGCCGGATAACCAGACATTATACTCACTTGAGATATCTCTGGGTCGCCGCGAGAATGGCGGATGTGTGCAGGCGAGCGGGTTGCATTACCGGCTCGTTGGCTGCCAAATACACCGCTGCAGTAGCCTTATCTAAGGGGACTGACAGGGCGAGACATTTCGACGGCGGCGCGCAAGCCCGTCCGGGTCATGCAGAGAGCTCGAGAGGGCTCTGCATGACGCACGAACGGGGACGCGAGGGCGGGTTAGCTCTCTTGTAACATAAAGAGAGCTAGCCGCGTGCTCGTTGGTCGAGCAGAACTGTATAAAAATTTCTGCTTTTACCACGCATCCAGTACCGCGGTCTGATGCCAGGATGGAGCAGCAGTCTCTCGTGGCGTGTCCCTCGGCCTCATCCTCAGATGTGACGGCAGTGAGGCTCGTGAGCGGCAGCTGCGCGTCGGTGAGGGGAGGCGGGGAAGGCGAAAGCGAGGCTCGAGGTAGGTTCTCCGGCGAGCGCGTCGCTGTAGCCACGGGTTCCGGCTGTCTCAGGGAACGGCGCTTCTTCCTGCGCGGTCCCACAGAGGGCGGAGTGACTGCTTCGTGGTTGAAGGCTTCGAGTCGAGCCCGCAGGGTCGACAGCGGAAGCGCTTCACAGAGCTCGCAGCCCCCGGATGCGAGGGCGAGCTCTGCATGTTCCAGGCCCAGGCAGAGAGCGCAGATCACATGGCGGTCTCCGACGCTGAGCGGGGCCCTACACGAGCCGCAGGAAGTGCGAGGCATCTTTAAAAAGACACTCGCGCTCTTTTAGGAATAGGTTTTGCAAGGTAAAAGGATACGTCGCCGGATAGCGTAGCTCGCACGGATGGCTGAAGGTGGCGAAGACGGCCGGCTTCATCAGCGCTGTCCTAAGCTGGCTATTCGCTGTTCGACGGCGACGGTGGCTTCTCTCAGATCCAGCGATGCGAAGAGCTCGCTGAAGAGACGAAAAATTAGGGAAGTCAGCCTACAGCCCCTACTTTTATACGCTAAGCCACGCCCATTCTGGCGGGCTGTGACGCTATGAAGGCGCGGGCGCCCTTCATTGGGCGTGACGTTACGCCGGGCTCACTGGTAGGCTGCAGCAGTTGCCCGCAGGGCAGCCAATGAGCACGTGAGATGGCCTGCTCTAGGTCTGCTAGCTGCTGCACTGCGTTGACAATGAATACAAAATTAAGGATAATTTTTTGGCTTCAATATCTCGAGAAGATGAATCTTTCCCGTAGCGTAAGCTAAACTTACGCAATACGAGAGAACCTCTCGTAAGAGAACTAAAATATCTCTGACTTGCTCTGACTTTCGGCAACTAGCATTGACTCCAAGAATCTGGGCAAAAGTTTTGAACTTTGATACTTGTACAGCCTTTGTTGTTCAAAATAATGTGTGGTATCATTGTTTCCAATAATGTGCAACACTTCTCTGTTGTTCAAAAACTGTGTTTAAGGGTTTAAAGACCATTGAAATAAGCATTAATGAGCATTTTCAAACAAGCTTTTTCACTAACAGGGTTGAAATGCAGTGCACATCTTATTTCTATTTTAGGCATAGAAATGGCACCACCTGGCTTCAAAATACCATCAATTGACTTCAAGTCCCACGACTCGCATGTTTTTTTTGTTGTTTTGATCCTAAATCTGCATAAAAAGGCAACACTGCACCATACCTTACATTATGCACGGCTGATGTATTCAGGTCATAAAAATAAAGGATTGTTGTGATATACATTGCAAAGGTAAGCACTGCATTCATTTTTACATTACCCTTTTTTGCTAAATTCTTAATGGTGAACATGTACATCACCATTCTTTATCCCCCCTCCCCCCTCAATCAAGGTTTTTAATGGCTGGAAACCTTTCATATCCTACTTTTACATTCAACCTTAAAATTGCAAAATTTGATGTCCATCCCAATGCAACATATCCTGTGTTCTTCGCTGGAGCTCTGATCTATGTGTTCTCTGTGCTCTGTAATGGAAGCATTCTTGGACTGATAATCACCCAAAGAAACCTTCACAAGCCGATGTTCTACATCCTGTTCAGCCTCCCTCTAACCGATTTAATTGGAATCACTTCTGCTCTGCCCAGGGTGCTTGCGGACATTATAACAGAAACAAATGATGTGTATTACCCCACATGTGTTCTTCAGGGTTTTTTGGTACATATGTATGGAGGTGCAATACTTTTTCTACTGGCAGCCATGTCGATTGACCGGTACATAGCAATATGCAACCCACTCAGATACAATTCTATTATGACTCCTGGCAGAATATGTGGACTCATAACAGTGGCATGGAGCCTTGATCTTGTCTTGATACTTGTATTATTTTCCCTTCAGTCTAGAATGGAGAAATGTAAGTCTTTCATTGCTAATGTGTACTGTGACAACCCATCTTTGCTTTTGCTTTCATGTGGAGGGGATTTCACTGTGAACAACATTTATGGCTTATCTATAACAGCATTTATGCAGATAACCAGTGTCTCTGTTCAGCTGTACTCTTATACAAACATTCTCATCACGTGTATAAAACAAACACACACTGATTCAAAAGTAAAGGCTGTAAATACATGCATGGCCCAAATCGCTACATTTTTTTCTCTTTGAAATAGTGACAACCGTTGCTATATTATCATATTGGATCCCCAATTTCTCTTCCAGTGCACAGAGGATTTGTGGTTTGATGATTTACACAGTCCTTCCAGTTGTCAATCCAGTCATTTATGGAATGCAAACTAAAGAAATTAGAATTGCTTTCTTTTTGGTTTTGAAACAACAACAACAAAGTTGGTCAAGGTAAAAATGCATCTGTTGTTAAAAACAGTTAAAAAAAGAATCATTATAACTGAATGTAATATATATTTTTTAAGTTTCTTGAAGTGGTATTCTAGATGTAAATGTACACAGGTTTAATTGTTTGACATGTCTACTCATGTCAAACACTGCTTCAAAATAAAAGATTTCAAGCAGGTTATGGTCAGGAATAAAATACTTTAATTTGCCAAACAACTGTATCATCAGATAATTTATAAATAATACTATGATTTTATTACATCATCTTTTGGTATAAATAATTTCTTTTTAATTGTTGGGAAGGCATTAAAATCATATCTAATAACTGTTATTATCTTTGGATACTTGTTATACTAAGCCTTTTTTTTCTGTGAGTAGAAATGAGCAATAAATAAATAAATTGTGGAATATATGTTGGATTTGAGGATTTGTATATTATTACTTTATGAATAAAGTGCTTCTGATTCTATTTCCTCATATAGAACAGTCATTAGATCTGCAGTTAATATTACATTACAATAGTCAGTCATGGTGAGAGAATGAAAGTAAAGTTTTTTTGTCATGAAATAAAGAGAATTATATGAACAAATTGTGAAAATAATATGAACCCTAACTCTAACTACTAGAAAGATTATTTCTCCATTAAGACTATTGATGTTGTGATAAAAGTGTCTGATTTGTTTCCCTTAAACTGAGAGAACCAATAAAAAAAAGAATAAAAACCAATGGCAAGATTTGGACTTATTATTTGTATAATTCTGACAGACACACAATGATAAGCAGTGAAAATTAATCAAGACATTTGCAGTTGTAAAACAGGGTTTTAAATGATCAAAACCTATACAGCTTGAACATATCTGAAACATTTGAAGTTTTGGTGACCTTAATTCCTGAATATATTTTCTGTGTGTGTACTTATGGTAGTCATCTGGGGCAATGAATAGTTGCCTTTAGTGATTTCAATAGTAGAAAACAAAGCATTACTAAAAGAAAAAAAAATTGCCACTACAAAAATGAATAGAACAAATGAAAATTATGTACTCACACATGAGCACTCCAATTATATCAGTATAGTCTAGAAAAGCGGTGCCCCAGGTGATTTTTTTGTGATTTTAATATGCAAATGACACATTTCTGAGCGTGACAAATGTCAAAACATCCTTGAGGCTTAACCCATAAGAACCCGGACCAATTACCCTTTATAGGAAAATTATGGGGCATATAAAACAGACTAAATGGACCACTTAAAACATGTTTCTGCAGTTGTTTTTTTAAATACACTCATTGTCAAAGATCTGTAATGTTACATATATGTGACATTGGGCGTTTATGATAAATTTATGTTACATATACACTCACCTAAAGGATTATTAGGAACACCTGTTCAATTTCTCATTAATGCAATTATCTAATCAACCAATCACATGGCAGTTGCTTCAATGCATTTAGGGGTGTGGTCCTGGTCAAGACAATCTCCTGAACTCCAAACTGAATGTCAGAATGGGAAAGAAAGGTGATTTAAGCAATTTTGAGCGTGGCATGGTTGTTGGTGCCAGACGGGCCGGTCTGAGTATTTCACAATCTGCTCAGTTACTGGGATTTTCACGCACAACCATTTCTAGGGTTTACAAAGAATGGTGTGAAAAGGGAAAAACATCCAGTATGCGGCAGTCCGGTGGGTGAAAATGCCTTGTTGATGCTAGAGGTCAGAGGAGAATGGGCCGACTGATTCAAGCTGATAGAAGAGCAACTTTGACTGAAATAACCACTCGTTACAACCGAGGTATGCAGCAAAGCATTTGTGAAGCCACAACACGCACAACCTTGAGGCGGATGGGCTACAACAGCAGAAGACCCCACCGGGTACCACTCATCTCCACTACAAATAGGAAAAATAGGAAAAATAGAGCATCTTTGGGATGTGGTGGAATGGGAGCTTCGTGCCCTGGATGTGGATCCCACAAATCTCCATCAACTGCAAGATGCTATCCAATCAAAATATTGATAAAAGTCAAAAAAAGATGTTGAAATATGTTATATTTAGCATTTTATATGCAGCTAATGGCTACACCTTGCTTAGCAATACTGTAAACATTCTTTATTCATATAAACATATCCAAAATCACACGAAAATCACACACAAACCACATTTACTCGAAATCGTGCATTTATTAGCTTCTTGTTTCAGGTGAAGAGATGTGTCTTAGCTTTGTTATCACGGAGGTCAGAATGAGGAAGTGTACACAGTAGCACGTCATGCAGAAGGGCAGGATTATTGTCACGTGAGATGATTGACAGCTGTATAGCGAATAAGAGAGCGCTGAGATCATATACTGACGCAAATCAGGAAGAGAAGACAGATCTCGCTGTTTGAGCTTCAGATCGCATTGTAACTCCTCCCTTAATTTAAGATGATACATCTGAGGGGTTCAACAGAATTCGACTGGTACTGATAATAAAACCACTTCATCAAACAAATACTCTTCTATTTCATTTTATTCCTAAGTGCACAACAAATAATCAACAAAAACAACCGAGCAGTCTTTGTCTTTGAGCATCAAAGAGAGTCAATAATAACTTAAACTTATCGTGATTAAACAGAGTTAGATGAATAAGCCGATGATGAAGATCGAAACGGTTATTTGAGAGCAATGCAATGTTATATTCCTGTAATCCAAATAAGTGTGAAATAGAGATAAGCAGCCTTGTAGATTTGTAGCATCAAACCCACGTTGCTTATGGAAAAACGAGTTGTAAATAGTGATCAAATAAGAAGACCTCATGCAGCATGGACCAACAAAGGTATCAAACAACCTCAAACCAAATATCCAAACTGTCCAAAAAGGTCCTTACAGTTATTAAACACTATATACTCACGTTTGAGCGTAAACTGAAACAGTTCTCAAACAGGATTTTTGAGAGAAGGTAGTCATGAGTTCAACCGTGGGGTTTCCCTCTACTCGCTTCTTCTTCTTCTTCTTCTTCTTCTTCTTCTTCCTTTTTTTTTGTCGATTCGCATCGATTTCGCGCATTATCGCCACCTACTGTGATTTTGATCCAGAGACTCCAACAACTACCTATTCCTCATCCTTACCCACTATATTAAAACATTATATGCTACAGCCAGCGCTGCGTGTTTAGCTCCTCTGGCTTAACCTGTTAGCGTTCCTGCAAAATTTGCCTAAAACGCCTAAAAAAGGCCTACCCAAATTAAATTGCATGGTGTTCTTGAACCATTTGTAGTATATGCATGCTTTTGGTCTCTTTTGAAAGGTGACACTCAGAGGTTTGTTCCTAAACAGAATCACTGTAAGTCTTACTGGTATTGAGTAATATAACTTTGAACACACTGAAAAATGACCAAACAAATTCCGACTACATTTTTTTTTGTAAACAGAAGTAGATAACTACAGCTGGGAGCTATTAGCTGGAAACACAATGGGATCACAGCACGAAGCCTTACCAAACCCAGTTTAAAATTTTATAACAATACTTTAGAAAAGGAGTGTTTTACACATGTTTATCTAAGTGTATGTCTAGGCGCTTCCCAAAAAAGGCCACTTAAAGACTCCAAATGACCATTTGTGACCATAGACACATAAAATGCTGCCATTCTTGAATGCTTTACTCTACAGTCATAATTTTGGGCTCTAATGAAATGTTACACTTAGGGCTATTATATTCGTTATCCAGAATCACTGTCAATAATTGCTGACACATAGTAACTGAAGCATAAACACATTATAGTGTTTTTTTTCTTTCAATTCTTGAAACCAAACTTTCTACAAAAAAAGAGACAAAACAAGTATGGTACTAAAACACTTTAATATTTGAACTCACACTATATATATATATATATATATATATATATATATATATATATATATATATATATATATATATATATATATATATATATATATATATAATCAATAATAAAATAAAAATAAATAAATAAATAAATGCAGTGGCGGCTGCTGGTCTTTCAAAGAGGGGAAGCTCTTTTTTTTCTTTTTTTTTTTTTACTCTATACTGTCAGGTGCGGGGATGGTGAAAAGAGCGAGGACTCAGATTCAGAGTTGATTTTATTTTATTAATAAAATAAAAAATACAAACAAAACTACGAACCAGCACAGGACAAGGAGAATAAATAGTGAGCAAAAAAAAAGGCAGGTAACGAGGGAGGACAGGTGGGGCAAAATAACTAATAATCAGGAAACAAGATGGGAGTCGACACAATCTACAGGAGAGCACATGGCACAAGGAAAACACATGATAAGCCATGTGCTCACACCAAACATGACAAAAACACAAACACATGGCCAGTAAAACAAATTACAGATGGTCAGATGATGAGTGACAACGCGGGGAAAACAAAAAACAAACAAAAACAGAGTCGGATTATCTACGCTATGACAGAGCTGAGAGCAAGGCACTCCTGCCAAAAAAACAAAACCCTCATGTACTAAATACCGCGATCAATGGGATAGCGAATTTACTTTTCTGAAGAGGAGCAGGGTGGGGGACAGTCACGCGTTTTGTAAGTTTTGTAACTGCGACTTTAGCATCTCACACGGGGAAGGAATGATGTATGTCAGCACGAGAAAGGGTGTTTAGCATGGTACGAAAGATTGTTACAGAGAATAGGATGACGTTAGACAACAAAACTGTTTGCTCTACTCTCATGTGAAATTAACCACTCTGGCCCAGCCCACAAATACACTCCTTCCAAAACAGTTAATACAAAGTCTGCAGCAAATTTGTTCAATAACTCACTAAAAGAGTAAAGAAAAGTTATGTGAAATGAAAAGAAAAACTGCAAATGAAAAGAAAAATGTTAGACAAGCAATGTCAAATGAACAGAAAATATGCAAATAAGCCTTTAAATAATGCTCTTAATATATACCATACATATATACACTCACCTACAGGTTTTTAGGAACACCTGTTCAATTTCTCATTAATGCAATTATCTAATCAACCAATCACATGGTAGTTGCTTCGATG